GCCCTCTTTGTGAGTGTAGCGACAGGGGCCTACAGACTAGGCATTTCTATTTTGAGTTTGGGCTATGTCATTAGCAAACTATTGTGGGGAGTCTACAGCTGTAGACCACAAATGCCTTGACCTCCCGTGGGACAGGGTGGGCCTAAGTCAGCCAGGGCCTCGTGGGTTTGTGAAGGTCCCATGTAGCTTGGAGGAGAGCAGGAAGGACCATATCTTTTGACTTTGACTTTGCTCTGCATTATTTAGATCAATCACTTATGCGATTTGACTGTTTAGCTACAATTTCTATATGTTTATAAATGACATTTGAAAGCTGTGTGCACATGAAACATTACGCTGTGGCCTAATTAATGAGGTAACAGGCACTGGTGTGCAGCACGAAGCATGAAGAGAGCATGAAGAGATGATATAGCTTTGTCAAGACAAACTGTAAGTTAGGAAAGCGAAGCCTTAAGCAGGCTAACACTGTAGTATATTTACCCTGGACTGCGCTGCTGACAGAAGGTTGACTCTCAGGATTCCAAATGATTCAAATGGATTTGTATATTAATTTGATGTGACACAAGGAGACGGCAGTTGTCCTCTTATATCCAGTATCCTCTAAAATGTCCTCTTGATTACATGGCCCCCCACACAAGCACACTGCAGTCATCACATTATTTGTGAACTGGTCCCAGCTGATATCAGTGAATGCTGGAATACACTGACATAATAATATATTCAGATTTATTTGGCAAACAGATGTAGAATGCGTGTGGAGGCATGTCATGTACAAAGACAGCTTTACACATTCATTAGAACTGCTTTCACTACAATGGTGTGTGTATAGTTTATCTTCCTTTTGTCATATTTATCTGAGGCATGAAGATTACTTTTCTGGGACACAGTTCATAATGGAGCACCGAGGGGGCTCGCGCTAGCTGCTGAGCGCACGAGATAGGTTTCTAAAATGACTTTTTTTTTCTCTCATTGTTGTTCGAGCACAATGAAAATGTAAGTACATTGAAGGCTTTGACATTTTTTAAGGGTGTGTAATTTCTTTGAAATTCACCAATCGTCAAAAAGTAGGGAAGCTTTTTTTTTTTTTAGTTACATATCTCCAGAAGATATAGAAAAGGGAATGGATGACATTCTAGCCCTTACTGCACTAACAAAAGTTGCCACTGATGTTATTTTTTTTTAACGATGGGGTGACACATGCTCTACGATGATGAGCTCAGTGAAAAGAAAGCTAAAGCCCAATTTTTTTTTTGACAGAAAATATTTCACATGGGCTCTTTCACAGAGCCCATAAAGCAGACCATTTTGGTGTCTTGATGTGAGAAATCTGGCAGATGTTCTAGTTGGACACAGCACATACTGTATTTTAGAGCCGTGTGTGCAGTGAAGATAAGGGGGGGGGGGGTTGGGCGGCCCTTGAGGCCATGACTCCTAATAGAGTGCTTTCTGGGGCTTATGTGATATAAATGTTCAAGAAATGTGTGTGTTTACTTCCTCAAGGTGAATTTCTTGCATCGCCTACATGGATATGGGAGACGAAATTCAGCAACAACAACAAAAAAAAACCTGCTTTGGAATTACAAATGTTTTCATTTTGACAGCCTCTTCAGGTATTCAGAAAATAAACATTGTATGATGCCAACATCCTTTTCCAGGTTGAAGGAAATATTTATGTTGTGCTGTGCATTTCTTGTACACCGTGCTTTAGCTCACATAGGAGAGGCCTACTGTGACAGACCTCCTGTTACCTTAACCTGGGGAGTTTTTATACCATATTTTTCAGGCACTAAGAGTCAGGACCCACTGGATGGCTGGAAATTTATGTGGAAAAACTGTGGTATTTAATGCATGTCACATTGACATTCATACTAATTGATTTGAACATATGTGCACTCTTACATACAGTTACTTTCACACACATACAGACACGCAGCTACATTTGAATGTGGGACAGTCATGGTATATGTATTTGCTCATTAAAACGGCAGTATTTAAAACCTCTCCTTATCATACTGTTTTCTCCATTCAGTTCACCTCTAAGCCCTCCCCCAAGCTCTCACCTATTGCTGTTCTCCCATGACTCTGTGATAAAGGCTTCTTGCAGAATAAAAAAAAAAAAAACATGGGATTTTTATTGATTAATAACTCAACTTACAAACAGCAAACTTACCTGTCCAGGGGAACCAAAGGTAGCTGAGCATCTGCCTTCGGCATCTTTAGATCCTGTTTTGGTTCTCTCCATCCTCCATCTGGTCGAATGTCCTGCTTTGATTAAAATATAATGGTAAATATATATTGCAATGTACTGTGTGCAGACCTGACATTTTTACAAAAGATCTGACTGACTGCTAGTTGACCATTTTTAATAAAAATGTAGCTATGTATTAATATGAAAATATTTCAATTAATATAAAATTACATGTAAATGTAAAATCGTACATACCACAGCTTTAAGATAAATCACTAATAATGTGTCGTATAACAGCCTGTTGGTTGTAGCCAGTCTAGTGGGAAGTGCTTCTGTTTGTTTACTGACTGTCTATTAACATAAATTAATTCTCAGCAATAAAATACACCACTACTTTAAAATGTATACGTTTTAATTCTAGGCTTGTATGGAATTAAGCACTAGTGGGATTTAATTCGCAAAAAGGCTGTTTTCATTTGCATGGAAACTACAGCAACGCACTCGTTCAGTAACTGTCTGCATGGAGACATGACAAGCAAACTGGCAAATCCACAGCCAATCAAAAACATCGTGCCTTACAACCGGATTGGCTACAGTAATGACGAGCAGCTCGATTTCCCGTTAAGGACCTCCTTATTTTACGTATGACATGTCGGCACTATAAATACCGATGGGCAGTAAAATCTAGTTCAGCCCTAGTTTTAGAGGGAAAATGTATCGTCTTCGTTCACAGATTTCCACCGAGACTGCTTTCAATTCCTACCTTTTATCACTGCCACTTGAAGGTTTTTATTTGAAGAGACATTGCACTAGAAACTGGTCGTCGATTGGCTGATTTTTGCGAAGGTTCTTATAATTTTTTATGAAAATGCCAAGGTCCAAGAAGAGGAGTAACCGAGGTAAGGACGATGCCAGTTTGTTTTGACTGGTTGACACCAGCCATGGTTTGTGCGAAAGGAACTTTGGGACATGTAGTTACACGTGGGAAAACCTCGTGACTAAGTCAACAATAACCTATGGTGAATATGACTACATTACCCAGCGTTTTGTGGCCTGTGTTTGCCTTGGATGGAAGCCACCTTATTATATAGAAAAAAACTTAGTTTCTTCCATGTTTAGCTACATGTATAGTATTTTTTACAGAATTTCATAGACTGATATTGTAACTGCTGTGGAGAAATATCGACCTCGAACAAAAAACTATTTTTGAAGCATTAACGAGATATGACGAGAAAGCTATGGCTAATTGATAAAAGAGAACAATCGGGTACGACTCATTCGATAATTTATAAATCGAGAGAGAGTATACATTTTCATCTAAAACGAATCCAATATTTGACATTAGATATGGTCGATCGTCGTCGTCGTATTGTTCGTCAATTTTATGTGAGCCCGGGGCTATTGTCCGGTAGCGAATTACTAACTACAACTAACGAGGCCATGTTGTTTCAGTTTAACGAAACAAACATTTCTTCCATAAAATCTGTGGGGATTGTGACGGTTTTTTAATTTTAAGTAGTTTGATCGTCCTTTAAATCCATTTAGGAACGTTGACAAGCTGTCACTAGCTATGGGTTACTTAAGGTCAAAACCTACTCCTCAATCTTTTAAAGTTGCTGACCCATTTTATGTTGGTAAATGTCGTACAGACCGTCCATCTTAATTATGAGCACTTTAAATAAAGCGTGAAAAGGGATCCATCGAACTGTCAACGATTTTAAATGTGTTTTCAGGTGTTGAGTCGGCAGGGTTTGTTAAGGTTGGGCTTCTTGCCAAACCGTTCTGCGATCAGTTTGTGGGTGTACTTTCTGGGGAAAATACTCGACGCCATCTTAGTACGTGACTTCATGGTAAAAATATAAATGTATTCTGAGTAAGCTGAATTAATGTAATATTATATTTTAAATGTCGCCTCTTCAATGGTCGGTGACGATCTGTGCTGGTAAAACTATTGGCCTACTTTACTGCTAACACATTTTAAGGCCACGAAGCTTTGTGTGTCACCGACACGGGGGTATTTGAGGGAAAGGAATGAAACCGCAGGGAGTATGATCAGCTAGTGCAAGTCCTCAGGTAACCTCTGACAAACCCGGTGTCGAGTTCTTTTTGCTACACCAGCTTTTTATCTTTGGGGAAATGCAGGCCAGGGCTGGTGAAAGCAGGCGTTTTTGCTTTCGTTTAAATGTACGTGCGAGAAAGACCGTTCAAACGCACCATTTTATTTGAATTGACAGTAAGGTGTTCGCATACTGTTTCATTTTTTATTTTGCCATGAAACTTTAAGTGCTTTGAATTCATAACCAAATTGTGTAGAACTTGCTAACTGTCATTTCTGTCGCAGTTTTAAACTGCAAAGTTGATTCTGTAGGAACATAATGACACCCAGAAAGGAATTCGGCCCAAAAATATTTGAGCCTAGTGGTTCTTTACGCAGGAACAATATAACTATCATGTACTGATATAATGCTTCAGTCAACAACGGAGACCATATAGTGCCGGAACAGTGACTTGAATATGGCAAGTCCACTTCCCCCATAGAGAAAAGAATATAGTGCAGGAGAGAACAGAAAAAAAAATGGTTTTGTATTCTCTGTTCAGTATTATCTTTTCATTTGCTTAAACAAAGGAGCTGTAGTGTTACAGTGACATCACTTAAAATAACCCTTTTGCATGTGAATGAACAAATCAGTTATATAAAATGCTGTTTACTCTCACTCTTGCACATCTCTCATTTCTATTTTTGATGAATAGTAACTGATGAGTGACATACTACAACACATGCTTTTGCTGTGTAAATATATGGTGACCTGGTGTGCCTATAGTCTAGTGGCCAAGGTGCATGACTGGGACCCCTGAGGTTGGTGGTTCAAGACCCAGCCCTGCCACAGCAAAAACACCATTGCTGTTGGGCCCTTGAGCAAGGCTCCCAGGGAGGATTTCCCAGCCTGATTAAGTCGATTTGGATAAATTAAAAAAAAAAAAAAAAAAGTGTCAGAAATGACTGTAATGTAATGGTGTGACTTTGAACAGAGGGCCAAAAGGAATTGCTGACTGGCGAGAGCTTTGACTGAACTTCTTGTTTACATTGTGGTGAACTGTGACACTTGTGAGGTGATTATAAATGCGAGTGTGTGTTTGTGTAAGATATGGCCCTAAAAATAAAGTCATGTGCAGAGAAATGTTGGTGCTTACCCGAAAACCTGAAAGTTCTTCAGTGGTATGCCAAATGACAACACATTTCCAGTGTGAATGAGAATTATCTGGTAGATCCCAAAGCAGGAAGAGACATGATTCAAGTTCATAAAAAAGACCAGCCACAATGGGAAAAGGCCCTTAAGCAGTGGTGTAAGTATCTGTACAGGAACAACGTGCTTTTCAATGGAAACGTAACTAGTGACAAAAGCAGAATGCCTGTGGAGAAGGGTTTAAGAACTCTGAGGAATGAGAAGTGGAGGAGCTACTGTTGAACTTGAGAACTAACTGAAGATGACTTGGATCATCATGTTTAAACCTGCTTCTAAAATGTGGTTTATCCCCCATTCACAGTCATTGCCCGTCGCCCAGGTGCTTTTTCGCTTCCACTCTTGCCATGGAGAATATTTATGACATTTGCAAGAAAGACTGAAAGGTGCATTCCATGTAAATGATTGCAACCAAAAGGTCTGACACTGGGGACATCAGAAGTTAAGCGCAGCATCTTCCATTTTTAAGACATTTTAATTTAGCTGGAGGCTGGATTCGATCGCTTTACTGTAACAGCCCAATTCGGCAGACCTCTTTTATAAAGCTGGACATACAAGAGTAGATGAGGTGATGTTGGAATGCAAATGTTACATGATCATGTTACTAAGCTGGTTTAACAGGATTGATCAGAGATATGGGGAATAGAATCTGTATCATTTTCTGTGTCATGCTCCATGTGAAGGTTAGATTTTGTACTGACTGGCTTTGTTTGTCTCATTTTCTGTACAAATCTCACGTATCGCTGTGTCCTTGACACCACAGAAAAGGACCGCTTGATAGTTCTGCCAGATCATGCTCACTGAAAGAAGGGAACAGAATGTCCAACAGAGCAGGGAAAAAAAAAAAAAAAAAAAAAAAAAAAACCTGTTGAACCATAGCCATTTGTTTAGAATATCAATTACAACATGGTCAAATGTTTCCATGGGAACAAGTCTTCCAGCTCTGATTTTAAAGGAAACCGTAGGCATAAAGGTCACTCAAAGTTAATTTGCTTTCATTGGTAACCATTTCCGAATTTGATGCTTGTTTTTGCTTAGTGGGTTGGAATAATTAAATATGTAAATTTATCAAAGTTTTGCCATTATTCTAGGCATTAAACAAAGGTCCTGACTTGCTGTGGTCATTCAAAATTTGGATGGTACTTTTTTTTTTTTTTTTTTTTTTTTTTTTTTTTAATGTAGATGGGTTATACCCTCGTTTCCAGGTCACATTCACTCAAATGGGCCTCTACATCTGGCCACAAAGTCACCCATACAGTTGATTGGCTAGAAATCCCTTTCATTCTGTTCGCACGGTAATTCTATGCAAATGACTGGGTCCCTGTTTGCCTACCTGAAATGGCTAGATAGCAAGGCCTTGGTTTCTTCACAGCAAATTCTTTGGTGGTGGTGGGGGGTGGGGGTGGATTGGTTCATTTAATCAAGGCTACTCCTGGGCAAAGGGTAATTTGAGGTCAACCTTGATAGTCTACCCAAACAACTCTTTCCAGTTACCGTGACATTTGGACCTGGGGCCCCCTGTTGAATGGCCTTGGGCTGACATACTGTGTGTGTCTGTGTGTGCATGTGCAGGGGGCCAGCAGAGAGCTGTGCAGCCGTTCAGTGATGAGGACGCCTCCATCGAAACCCTCAGCCGCTGCAGCAGCTTCAGCGACACGAACAGCGTGGCAGAGGAAGGTGAGCCGGATCCCTGCATGCCCAAGACCTGATCCGTTTCAGGATTTCACTCCAACTTCAGCTCTTCATTACAAACAGCTATGATCTTTTATTTGATCTCAGATTTTTTTTTTTTTTTTTGATCATCATGAGACACTGCTGTAGGCTGTACATGTATCTTTTTGTACAAATGTTTTGTTAACCATTAGTAGGAGTTTAGCAGTATTTGCTTGTAACACTTTTTGAAAATTAATCAGAATAATTGGTTGCAAGCAAAACCAGTTTGTGCACCAGAGTTGTGCTTTCCTTATGGAATCTTTATTATTTTTGCAGTTCTACAGGTTCTGAAATGGGAATGTTGTTTTAAAAACATGCAATTTATTAGACAGAAATGGTATGAATTAAATCTTTTAGTACACATAATAATTTTTAGTGCACAAAAGCATTTTTTGGTAACTAGAAACTTGTCCTCAGAGTGTTGCCAGTTTTAAACTACATTTGCTCAAAAGTCAGAGTTCTAGAACTCTTCAAAGTGAATTAAAACTCTTTTTTTTTTCCATTTTGACTTTCTTTGCAAAGTAGAGGAGGAGTCTGGAGCATCTCTAACATGGTGAGCTCAGGTGGATCTGAGAGTAGGCCGTACCCTCATACAGATCGTATAACCCCAGATGTGGCTGTTTCTGCAGTCATGTGCTGCCATTTTGTGTTGTATGAAAGAACAGTTAAGGACTTAGGATGTACTGCTGTTGTACCTAAGAGTGCAGTACATCACTGGAATTGGATCCCTCCGTTTAACTATATGCTGTGGCAGAACAATGCAGGAGTGATGACAGTCAGGCCGTTCAGCCTGTCTGTTTCGTTGGTCCTGGAGAGCCACAGGTGTGCTGATTTCTGCCTTTGATTGGTGTGTTTATTGTTTAATTAAAGCAGCTTATTAGATTTAATTCTGCCCATCTGGTTTTTGGTTACTTTAGGATAACTGATTGAACCAGCAGACCCTGTTGCTTTGTAGGAGTTTGCTGCATGTTGGACCTGAATTTGCACACAGGTGTTGATGAAGCTAGCCCTGGTGGATTCAGTGTTCACACTTAAATTGGGTGAAAACGCTCCTGAAAGTATAGTACATTGTAGTGTGTCAGCCGGGGAATGAGACTTCCATTTGGGTTTTGCATGTGCCCTAATGCTTCTTGATTAGGAGGATTGCTCTGGGTAAGCAAAATCAATAGAACAAAAGCTGATCTTCCTCCCTCCCTTTGAAAACTGTTCTGCGTGAGTGTTCTACACGAGCTGCTCCACAGTGTGGTTTATACAATCCCCCGTGCTATTGCTCAGTTCAGCGAGCTCCTGTCTGAGGGAAATCGATCGCACATGGTGTATGTCCACATGATACAACCTGCATCATCAGCTGTGTACCGTCAGTGAGTCATGACTGACTAATATTCAAAATACCACATGACTAATCTGTAAGCTTGATGTGATGTAATGAGTTCTTCTCCTTTCCCGACACATTGCCTTGGTGGATGTTATACATATATATATATATATATATTTTTTTTTTTTTTTCCCTTTTCCCCACTGCTCTGATGGCACAGAAGTTGCCCTTATGGTTTTTGTTCGTTTTTACGCAGCAGGGGAAGTGAGCGAGGATGTGGCTCAGGAGGATTTCCAGTTCAAGCTGAAGGGTTTCATCGACAGCACCGTGGACAAAAGGTTTGAATAACGTATTCTGTACAAACCTAGCGGTATTCAGTGTGTAATATAACTGAGTGCTGACCAGATTGAGCTCTTTGTGAATGGATCCTGTTTCACATATTTGAGCTGGCAGTGACCCAAACGGTGTGATGGCATAGACTATAGGAAGGGTGAAAGCCTGTTGATTCAAAATGATGGATCATGCTTATGACTTGTGTTATGGTTTTTTCATAACTTTTGCTAAGGCAGACAAGTGATATGTTAATGTTTAGTCTCGGGTGGCTTCTCACTGAACTGTGCAGTTAAACCAAGCCATTTATGATGAAACTGTATCCACTGCATCATGCACAGTCCTGTTGGTATCTGTAGGTTTTTGCTCCTTAATCAAGCCTTGGACATTATGTGCTATGACTGCGGCTCCTCCTCTTGCAGTGCTAAAACGAGACAGAGCGCTCTAGACGGGCTGAAGACTGCCATGGCAACCAAGCTGCTGTACGAGTTCATTTTGGACAGGAGGATGACTGTTACTGACAGCATCGAACGCTGCCTCAAGAAAGGTATTCCATCAGTCCACAACCCCCCCGCCCCGCCGGGTCAGCAAATCTGTGATCAAGACCCGAGACTCCACTATGGTCTTCCTGTAATGAGAAGCCGTCCACAGCAGAGACCTCAGACACCAAGTCTGTGGGAGGAGGGTGTGCTGTGTGTGGGTTTTCACTGAGGTTGAACACTTTGTGCTAAACTGCCTAATGGAGTGGAAGTCCTTCATTGGCTGACGCAAGGGTAGGAGTGTGTGCAGACGTCTCTTTTTCTGCTCCGTTTGGATCCCAAGCTACATAATGTTAGTAATTATGCTTGATGGAATTAGGATTCCATGTGCTGGAGCTGGAGGAAGGTTTTCACCTCTCTGACTCTCAGCTATTAAGTGTCTGAGACTGAATGTTCAAACTAATATTAAGAGCTCCGAGGGAACAAAAAGTGGATTCCTCTCTGAACACCAAGGCTAAAGGGCTAAATATGTGACACATTTTGTTTACAAGGCCTAAAATGATTTAAAGGGAAGCACAAAACCCCTTAGACATGACTGCTTTGCTGGCCTGGAGTTTGAGATCACTGCCCGAAATACAATCGTGAGACAAGAACATGGCTCTGACTGGTGCAGTTGTAATGGGGGGTGTAGCCTCATTTTCACTGACCTCTGTTGTCCAATCCTATGAAGGCAAAGGGGAGGAGCAAAGGGCAGCAGCCTCTCTGGCCTGCCTGCTCTGTATTCAGCTGGGCTCTGGGATCGAGAGTG